TTTGTATTTTTAGTAGAGACAAGGGTTTCACTATGTTGGTCAGGATAGTCCCGAACTCCTGATCTTAGGTGATCCACCTGCCTTGGCCTCCCAAAGTGCTGGGATTACAGGTGTGAGCCGCCTTGCCCAGGTGCAATTCAATTTTTTAATTTTTATTTTAAATAGAGACAGGGACTCACTATGTTGCCCAGGCTGGTCTTGAACTCCTTGGCTCAAGTGATTCTTCCACCTCAGCCTCCCAAATTGCTGCAGATATGAGCAGCACCTGATCTATAATTCAGTTTGTTTGTTTTTGTTTTCTTGGGTTTTTTTAGACAGTTTTGCTCTTGTTGCCCAGGCTGGAGTGCAATGGCACGATCTTGGCTCACTGCTACCTGTCTCCCGGGTTCAAGCGATTCTCCTGCCTCAGCCTCTCGAGTAGCTGGGAATACAGGCATGCATCACCGAACGTGGCCAATTTTGTATTTTTAGTAGAGTAGGGGTGAACCACTGTGCCTGGCCCTGTAATTCAATTTTGAAAAGAGGGGGTGCTAGGGGGAAAATGGCCAGGCAGGGTCCCTTTTTGCCAGCCTTGCCTTTCCCACCACCCTGTTGCTTTGACCAGCCCCCTCCCTAAGCCCCGCTTCTACGGCTCAGCACCTCCCTGGCCAGCTGCCTCTCCTCAGCTTGGGGCTGAGAATGTGCCTCTCCCCTACCCCAACTAGCTTCCCAGCAGTGATCGTGCTGTGCTCCCAGGCCCCCAGGCTGAGAGCTCCAGAGCCTCTCGACTTCTCCCTCGGTCTCAATCTGCTAAGAACAGGCCTTGCTCTGAACCAGTTCAGTCATCCTGGCCTCGGGGACACCTCCTGCCTGGGCCATGACCACAGCTCCCGAAGGCTTCTCCCTGCCTCCTTTCTCTGCTCTCCAATGTCCCCGCCCACTGCCACCAGATTCACATTCCCCAGGGTAACTTCCATTGTGCCCCTCCCACATCAGAGGCTCCCCAGGGTCCAGGTGCTGCCCGATAGAAGTCAGGCAAGTGGGCCTGGAAGGGGTCAGGCTAAGGCGAGATAATAGCTTCTGTGCAGACAATTCTCCCCAGTTTACAGATTAGGAAACCAGGGCTCAAGAAGGCCGAGCTGCTTGCAGCCAGGGAGTGAGAGAGCTTTCTGGATGCAAGCCCGCTTCTGCAGGATCCTGCCTGGGACTCCTCCAGCCCTAGCCCCTGTGATTCCGTCTCCCTCCCGCTCCCTACTGGGACCTCCCTAAATAGCTCACTCTAGTTCCTAGCTCGGGCCTTTGCACATGCTGCTGCCTCTGCTGGGACTGACTTTCCCCAGCAAAATCCCACTCACATCTCAAGGCTCAGGCAGAGTACCTTCAAAACACCTTCCTTGATGACATCAGAAACGTTCCCGCCCTCCTTGGTCCTTAGTTCACATTGGGCTTCTGACACTGGATTCTGGATTGGAGGAAATCATCTGCTACTCTGAGTCTCTCCCCTGACTAGGCCAGGAGCCCCTGGAAGCCAAGATTTCACACCTGTTTGAAACAAGGAGTTATCACAACAGAGCGCTTACAAGTTTCCTGGGACTGTTGGAGCCAATGTCAGCAGCTTGGGCTAAACAGCCAAGACATCTTTTCTGTGCCTCAGGGTCCTCATCTATAAAACAGGATCTTGGCCAGGCATGGTGGCTCATGCCTGTAATCCCCACACTTTGGGAGGCCAAGGTGGGCAGATCACCTGAGGTCAGGAGTTCGAGACTAGCCTGACCAACATGGAGAAACTCTGTCTCTACTAAAAAAAAAAAAAAAAGCAAAAGTAGCTGGGTGTGGTGTGGCATGCCTGTAATCCCAGCTACTCAAGAGGCTGAGGTAGGAGAATCGCTTGAACCCCTGAAGGGGAGTTTGCAGTGAGCCATCGTGCCATTGCACTGCAGCCTGGGCAACAAGAGGGAAACTCCGTCTCAAAATACATAAATAAAAATAAAATGAAATAAAATACAGATCATAATACACTAACTCGAAGGCTTGTCGGGAGCAAAGGGTTGGAAATGGCCCAGTACAGGTATGCTTTCAATGAGCTCAGCCTTCATGTTCATCTGAGGTCTCGCTGAATCCTGGCAACCCTCAGTAACGGGCATCATCACCCTCACATTACAGAGGAGGAAACTGAGACCGGCCCAAAGCCCTCAGGATACCAACCCTGTATTCCCAACTCCTGACCACCTCCAGCTTAGCACCTAGCACCCTGGTGCCCACACAAGCCCAGTTAGCAAGCATTTGTGGCATGAACGAAAATGACTCACTGGGCACGTTTGCCCCTTCTGGTAGGGGCAAAATTTCCTTATGATTGTTTGTCGTAAATAAACTGTATGGTTGACACATTAGTGTCACCTCCTTAGAGGCTGTCAGTCACTGCCCCTCCCAAACACTAGCTCTTTGAGTAAGAAATGCAGGAAGGAGAAGCATGATGGGTAGGAACAGGGCAGAGCAGAAGGAACCGGAGTGATTCTCGGATTATAGCTTTTTAGACAGCTTAACTTTTTTTTTGCTTTTTGTTTTTGAGACAGAGTCTCACTCTGTCGCCAGGCTGGAGTGCAGTGGCATGTTCTTGGCTTCATGGGTTTAAGCGATTCTCCTGCTTCAGCCTCCTGAGTAACTGGGATTATAGGCACACACCACCATGCCCAGCTCATTTTTGTATTTTTACTAGAGAGGGAGTTTCACATTGGCCAGGATGGTCTTGATTCTCTTGACCTTGTGATCTGCCCGCCTGGGCCTCCCAAAGTGCTGGGATTACAGGTATGAGCCACCTCACCTGGACCGCTTGAGTTTCATATATGTAAACACCGTCATATCCAAAAAATAAACTATAAAAGGGGAGGGGGAGAAGCATTAGCTTATTATTAAAATTGATCAAATAGGCTGGGCACAATGGCTCATGCCTGTAAACCCAGCACTTTGGGAGGCTGAGGTGGGAGGATTGCTTGAGCCCAGGAGTTCAAGACCAGCCTGTGCAACATAGTGAGATCTTCTCTCTACAAAATATACAAAAATTAGCCAGGCATGGTTTGGTGTGCATCTGTGGTCCCAGCTACTAGGGAGGCTGGGACAAGAGGATCCCTTGAGCCTGGGAAGTTGAGGCTGCAGTGAGATATGATTGCACCACTGCAGTCCAGCATGGATGACAGAGCACGATTCTGTCTCAAAAAAAAAAAAGGCTGGTTGTGGTGGGTCACACTTGTAATCCCAGCACTTTGGGAGGCCAACGTGGGTGGATCAAGAGGTCAGGAGTTCCAGACCAGCCTGGCCAACATGGTGAAACCCCGTCTCTTCTAAATATACAAAAACTTAGCTGGGCATGGTGGCGTGTGCCTGTGGTCCCAGCTACTTGGGAGGCTGATGCAGGAGAACTGCTTGAACCCAGGAGGCGGAGGTTGTAGTGAGCTGAGATCGTGCCATTGCACTCCAGCCTGGGTGATAGGGCGAGGCTCTGTCTCAAAAAAATAAGAAAAAAGCAACTATACATTTCACTGTAAAAGACATATGAAGATCAGCTCCTTATTACTTTCTCTCAGGGCCCCTAGTTGGTAACTTCCACTTGCTGTCTGATGTCAGGCTGTCTAGCCCAGAAGGTCCTAAGGTCCAGGGAAGAGGGGGACTCTCCACTGCATTCCCCAGCACCTCATTCAACCAAGTTGGGGTGAACAAAATGGCTCTTCACAGGCTGATCAACTGTCCAGAGTCCTCCCGGCTACCGCCCAGGCATTCCAGGACCCACTGGCATTTCCTGGCTTTGGGTAACCTGAAGCCTGAAAAGGGGACCCACCTTTTCTTGGACCTCACACAGCAGGAAACCCACCACCAGGCCGTGAGCCTGTGGGGCACTGGGTCTTGATGGCCAGCACTGGAAGGGGTCTTGAGCTACATCCAGGATTTCAAAACACCCAAGGGAACCTCCCAGGACCCTCTACTCGCTTCCCAGGCTGCTGCTTCTTCCCTCTAACTTATCAGCCAAAGAGCTCTTGCTTCTGGGTTGAAACTATGGCAATAATGGCTCTTGGGTTAACAAAAAGTAAACGATGTTGGATGAATGCAGACTGATTTTGTTGTTGTTGTTGAGACAGAGTCTCACTCTGTCACCCAGGCTGGAGTGCAATGGCGCGATCTCGGCTCACTGCAACCTCCACCTCCTGGGTTAAAGCAATTCTCCTGCCTCGGCCTCCCGAGTAGCTGGGACTACAGGCGTGTGCCACCACGCTCGGCTAATTTGTATTTTTAGTAGAGACGACAGGGTTTCATCATATTGGCCAGGATGGTTTCTATTTCCTGACCTCATGATCGGCCCGCCTCAGCCTCCAGAAGTGCTGGGATTACACTGCACCTGGCCAACACATTCTTTACCAAGCTGGTGAGACCAAGGCAGGCAAGGCTGAGTGCTGTCCTTTTATCAAGGCTTGACTGAAGTCCCTCACCCAGGGTCACTGTCGGAGCTCACTTTAGCACCCTCCCTCATGGAGCCCTGGGGTCAGCAGTGGAGAAGGTCAGAGCACCCCCAGCCCCCACAGCAAGATGGCCTGGGCTCAAGTCCTGCCTCTGCCCCCAGAGCCGTGACTGTGGGTGAGCTATTTTACCCCAGGACCAGTTTCTTGTCCGAAGGCAGGGCAATTACCAAGACCCTAACTCAGAATTCTTGTGTGGATAAAATCATGTGTGAAGAGCCTTTAGGACCTTGCTTCTCAAGGTGGACGGGGGGCGTCCCAGGCCATCCACACATCTGGAGTGTTCGGGGAGATGCTACCCCAGCCCTCTTTATAAAACCCCCAGGTGGCTCCTGCATGCACTCGTGTTTTTGAAGCCCCCTGGACATCCCACCACTGCCCAAGTGTTGTGAGATGCACAGCTGCCTCCAGGGCGAGGGCTCTTCCTCACTGACTCCCACTGATCCCAGCGAGGCCACTTCCAGGTCTGCTGGGAGAAACCCCAAGGGCACAGAGGTGGACCAGGGGCTGCCTGTATCTCTTTATCTTTTCTACTTTATTACTTCAAATTAACAGCCACAATAAAGCTCAAAAAAGTCCAATATTTACACAGGAAAAAGTACAAAATTCCCCCCAAAGTTCTTCAGTATTTTTTTTGTTTTTTAAATTACAAAGTAATAAAAAGCTTTGCTCTTTAATTAAAAAAAAAAAAAAAAAAAAAGGAAAAAGGGGAAAGAGAGGTAAATAAATTAGGAAAACACATGGAGAAAACAAACAAAAATAAAATAACAAAAAGAGGTGTTAACTAGGAAGGATGGTTAATCCGAAACCCAGCCCTGACCCCAGGCCCCTGCTCAGGACGGTGGAATCCAGGGAGAGGGGGGACCCCAGGTGACTGTCAGGAACAGGGAAGTCATTTATAACTCAGAGCCAGATGCCTTCTGGAAGTAGTCTCCATGGATTCTGCCCTAAAACCAGGAATGGAAGATGGAGCTGCCACCAGCTGATGACGGGCTGGGGGAGGGATCGGCAGCAGCAAGGACCCTCTGAGCTCTGAGGGATTCGGAGGTCACCACCCACCCCCATATTCTTGTTAGTAGATACGGGAGAACAGGAATTTGGCCTGGCAGGTGGGGTGAGCCAGGGCACCTGCTGTCCTGGGAAACACGGGTCAATACATCCACACACACGCACAAAGGACGCCGACCCCCACCACCTCCCCACCCACTCCAAGGAGATGCAGAGGAGGAGCCTGGAGGTCAGGGGGACACTGGAAAAGCTCAGCCTGGGAAGTTGGCCACTGTCATCTCAGAGTGGGTGTCGCTGTGCGTATCTCCTGGATTCTGAGACTAGGGAAACTCGGTGGGTTTCGACTGACCACATCACTCCGATGATGCTCAAGGGCCAGCTGTGGCTCTGGGACCTGCCACTTCCGGGACATGGACCGTTCCTCTCCCGGCAGGTGGGTGGGGGCAGGAAAGGCAGGCCGGTTGGCGTCTGACTCCTATAGCCTGGAGCTGTCGGGGGAGCGTCTGGCAGCCTGAAGATTGGGGGCAGCAGGCACCACAAGGGGGCAAGAATCCTCAGTGCTGAGGGCATCCCATCTTCTTGCCATTGGCAAAGAAATCAAAGAAACAAAATCCATTGTCGGTTGTGTGCTGGGTTTTTTTGTTGTTGTTCTTTTGAGTGGTTTATTTTTTCCATCTTTTTTTGTTTATTAAAAGAAAATACAGTGAAGACACTAGAAGGGGGAAGGGAGAAGACAGGTGAGGTGCACGGCTGCCACTGGCTTTTTTTTTTTTTTTTTTTTGAGACGGAGTCTCATTCTGTCGTCAAGGCTGGAGCACAGTGGCACAATCTCAGCTCACTGCAACCTCTGCCTCCAGGTTCAAGCGATTCTCCTGTCTCAGCTTCCCAAGTAGCTGGGATTACAGGCGCTTAACACCACTCCCGGCTAATTTTTGTATTTTTATTAGAGATGAGGTTTCACCATGTTGGCCAGGCTGGTCTCGAACTCCTGACTTAAAGCGATCCGCCCAACTTGGCCTCCCAAAGTGCTGGGATTACAGGCGCAGGTCACTGCACCCAGCTCCCCAAGGCTCCTGTTTTCTTGTCCCTCGGTCTATCTCCCTCTGGCTCAAGGCCCAGAATGCTAAGAGATCCATCTTTATGTGACAGAAAGGAATTCTCTCCCTCCTCTGCCCTCCTGGTGAGCATCTCCCACCCCACTCCCAAATATCTGCCCAACCCACCATGGATGGCCTGGTTCCTGGGCCTGAGATCTGAGGAAGGTCAGCCCTGTTCCTGCCTCCACTCCCTCTGTGGATGAATTTCTACCACACAGACCACACTCAGATGGTCCCAATGGGAAGCAGAGTCCCCTGATGAGTCACGCTACTGCCTACACACGTTCCCCAGAGAGCTCAGATTATACCCTCGACAAGCCCCAAGAACCACCTCCCCTTCCCAAGCGGAGTAGAGAGTTTCTATACCCTGCCTCAAGACCTCATGCAGTCAGGGAAGGCCCAGGAGGCCTGCACTGGCCAGAGGGCCTCTCCCAGTCCTGCAGGGGCCTCTAAAGGCCTCCTCCGCTTCCTCCACAGTCCTGTTGTGAGTCTTGTGCAGGAATTAACTTTCGTAACAGCCCAGAGGCTGAGATGGGCTAAAGCCCTGGGAGAGGTCAGCGTGTGTGCCCATGGCCCCCCCTCTGCTGGGAAACAACCTTCCAGAATACGTTAGGGCAAAAGGAGACAGAGGGCTGGCCCAGGGGCAGAAAAAGAGTTTCTCCAGCAGAAATGAATCCATGTGGGGTCAGGCTGGAGCAGAGAAACCCGTGGCCCCGGGTCAGGCAGGCTCTGAGGTTTTAAACTCCTTGAGGCCCCTTAGTTCTGGGGCGCCTGGTACCATCTGCCACTGCCACCCACCCCCTCCACAACACACTGGTCTCTTTCTGGGGCTCTGAGAGCTTCCAGGGCTGGCTGGGCGGGTTGCATCTACAGCGTCAAGGACTCACCTAAGCAAACACTGGTCCACTGGAGGCTCTCCTCACTTCCCGAGATGGTCAAATGGCACACTTGTCTTTTGAGGATGGGGGAGGGAGAGAGAAGAACAAGCTTCAAGTCAAGTCCCTCCACTGCTGACGATGGAGATCTGGCAAGTCTCTCCCCACTGGGGAGCTCTACCCGCACCCCCACACAGCCCCTCAAGCCAAGGGAAGCGTCGTGTGATTCCAATGACTGCAGGAACACCGTCCAGGGAGGGAAGCCTGCCACCTAAATAGATGGCCAAGGAGGGGTCTCTTGCAGAACTCCCTCCTCGCTCACAGGCAGACGTTTCTGAGATGTCCACCCGGCCTTCCTCCCCTGCTGTGCCATGCAGGGCTGCTGGGCCCAGGGCACCCCCTCCACAGGCAGGAGGACAAGGGCAGGGCTCCCACCTGCCCCTGCCAGGCCACCTTCCCTGGGCAACCAGATTCCGCCTTTCCCAAGTGTTCCCATCCAAACAGGGCCACAAAGTGTATAGGACCCCACTGTTTTCATACCCCATGCTCTGGCCAGTACTCACATAGGCTCTTGGGGGGGGGTCCCTGATACCAGGGAGCAGAAGTACCTCATCTCTGAGCCCCTGCTGCCCACCCAGGCTGGGCCCGAGCCCAGCTGTGCCACTGCCAGGGAATGTTACTGTTCTGAGCCTTGCATGACTGTGCTCAAGAGGGGTCATTAGACCTCAGAGGATTAAATGAGGCCAAGTCCCAGCTCAACAGACGGGTTCACTCCAAGGCAGGCAGCGTCAGTGGAGAGGGCAGAACAGAGCCAAGGCCTGACCTCACCCTGGGCGGGGTGGGGGGGGGGGACGTTTCTAGCTCAGCTGTGAGGCCCAGAGGCACTGGCAGGGGGCAGCTCACCTGTGAGGTTGGGATCCGGGAGACCTCTTGCCGCCCAGTGAGGTCTGAGGAGGAGACGTTGGCGGGTGCGCCCCTGTGCAGCCTCATACTCACCTTCCTCTCCCGGTCCACCCGCGAGATCGCTCTGGGAGAAGTATTGCCTGCAGGGAGAGGCATGGGAAGCCACCCTCAGAGTGGGCACACACAGAGCCCCGCTGCCCGCCCTGAGCCCAGCCCACTGCCTGAGGCCCTGCTCACCAGCTGGCTGGATGCGGGAAGCTGGTGTGGAAGCCACAGGCTCGGCGGCACTGCGGAGCCGGTTGGCAGTGGCCCCCGTGGGTGGGCCAGGGGGCAGGGCCCGGGTCGCGGACCCCCGTAGCTGCCCCATCCTCTCCTCGCGCTCGTGTTCTCGCCGCTCCCGGTCCACGTCCTCGGGGTTCCGGGCTGCACCCTGCAGGGAAGCAAAAAGGGACACTGGTCAGCCCCAGAGGCCAGGGTGCTCTGGGCCCAGCAGCCCTGTCGGGGACAGCAGGGGAGGGAGGCCAGGTAGGCATCTCAGAAACCCTCTGCTCCAGCCTCGCTCCCAAGCGCAGGAAGCCATGACCCACAATCACATAGCAGAAACAAGAAGCCACACAACCACCCGGAGGAAGGAGAAGGCAGTAGTCTGGGGGCAGAGGGAGGTCAGTCTGCCCTGCTCTCCTGGGATGGAGCCAGAGCCAGGACAACAAATGCTCTCAGGATGATCAAGAGCACCCCTTGGTCCTCCCAGCCTGGGGCTGGGCCTGCCCTAACCCCCTCTGTGTACCGAGAGCCCTGAACTACTCAGTGTTGCCAAACTGAGCAGGGAAGCTGTTGAGAGGCCTCTAGCAGACTGGCTAGCGGTGTCCAGAGGGGAAAAGAACAGGCCCAGAGTCACAAAACTAGTGGAAGGCTGGGCCAGGACTCAAACCAGCCCTCCCAGTGCCCAGCCAGGGGCACTTTTCATTAGGGAGCTGTCTTTCCCCTGCCAGGACCTGGCAATGGCTTCTGGCAGGTACAGTGGAGGCCACAGCCAGAAGACCCAGGGGACCCACAGTCACTGCCTGCCTTGGGACAGGGGCTCAAGAGGAGCTGGAGAAGAAAATGGGAGTCACGTGCCCCATGGAGGAAGAAAAGGCACAGCAGGCAAGGCTGGAGCAGAAGGGGTACCCTGAGCCCCCAGGGGCCCTGCTCTCCAGCTACTGCTGCCCCTGTGCAGGAGGAAGTGGAAAGGCCCAGAGAGGAGCAGCTGTGGGAGCAGCGCCCAGCTGCATTACCTAGTTCATCCCGGGGCCGTCCGCAGGGAAGGGCAGGGGGCTGGCAGGAGGGGGGCCGCATCTGTGGAGAGAGCTGCGGGCTGAGTTGGGGGCCTGCTCATGGGCCACAGGGTGTAGTTCCTGCCACCCACATCTCTCCCAGGAGACTGGCCAACAAGTGGGGGCGGGGGTGGGCCCTGTCTTTAAGGAACTCCAGGAAGTAGTGGCTACGACTAGAATGATCCCTGAACCTTAGGGAGGCACCACAGCCCAGAAACCCCTCATGACCTGCCCGGAGTCACACAGCTCAGAGCAGAGCTGGAATCTGAACCCAGGCCTCTGCCACCTAGTCCCACTCTGCTCTCAGCACCCCAAGAGGTCACTGTTCAGAGCCTTGCCTTAGAACACTCTATTGACACATCTTCCCATCCTCCCACCTAGAAGCTTCTCAGACAGGCCTGGGACCACCGGGGCTCCAACTCCTGACCTCTGGTCCTCACCCTGGGCTCCCACTCAGTTGCAGGCTGGCCAACAGTGACCCAGCCAGAGCCATAGCAAAGCCTGGGGAGGAACATGAGCCATGATACCTCCGTGGTGAACCTCCTGTGGGCAGGGTCACACCAACCTCGTGAGGCCAGTCAATCTCATTCCCTAGTTTGGGACACAGAGCCTGAGTGACTCGCTTCAAGGCATGCAGCCCTACAGCCACCAGCCAAGCAGAGGGCTGGAGTCCCTGTCCTTCGTGAGCCCAGCAGGCTGAGGCCATCGCCAGCCCAGAGGCAGGAAGCGGGTGACTCTCCAAGGTCCCATCCAACCCATAGGACGCAAAAAAAGCACAGCAGGGAGCTCTCTTGGCCTTTATTGCCCATAGAAAACACAAAAGGTCAGCAAGCATCCACCTGTCATCACATGGACCTCTGTCTTTGGCCGTAATTCCTTCCTGGACGGCTGGTTGGCCCTCGGAACAGTGGCTGTATGTGCTGAGAGTGGCTTCCAGCCTCCAGGGACCCAAAGATCCCAGCACCCCGATGCTGAACACAGGGGTCCTGTCTACTGTCGGGGGCTTGGGAGGGGCCTGGCCTCAGGGAGAAGGTTTCCACTGCATGTTTTCCAGGTGCTTCTGCCAGGGGGCTGTCGGAGGTGATTCAGCTCACCACAGTGGCCATGGCAATGAGTCAGACAGGCAAAGGACAAGGATGGGGGCACCTCTGCCCAGCTTCTAACTCCAGGGCCTGCCTCAAGAGGGACTCCAGGAAGGTGAGAGCAGCAGCACTGGGTGGAGAGGTGCTCCTGGCCTGGCTAGAGAAGAGATCTTGCTGGCTAGACAATCTTGCTAGAATCCATAAGGGAGGCACCCAGAGTAGTGATGGGAGCAGAACGTTCTGGATGAATAAAATGGTCCTGTCCCGTCTGCCTTGCTGGATGTGGTGGCCACTACATCCAGCTCCTAAGAACTTCAAATGTGTCGGAGGTGATTGAGTAACGACATTTTCAGTATGCCTTTCTTTTTTTTTTTTTTTTTGGTAACAGTCTTGCTCTGTCACCCAGGCTGGAGTACAGTGGCACAATCTCAGCTCACTGTAACCTCTGCCTCCTGGGTTCAAGTGATTCTCCTGCCTCAGCCTCCTGTGTAGCTGGAATTACAGGTGCACACCACTACACCCGGCTGATTTTTGTATGTTTAGTAGAAATGGGTTTCACCATGTTGGCCAGGCTGGGCTTAAACTCTGGACCTCCAGTGATCCACCCTCCTTGTCCTCCCAAAGTGCTGGGGTTACTTACAGTGTGAGCCACCATGCCTGGCCGACATTTCCAGTCTTGATTCATTTTAATTCATTAAAAATGTGTCACACATAGCCAGTGACTACCATATTGGACAGTGTCAGTCTTGAGAACACAAAATTCATTCTTGGAGTTGTGCTGAGCTGGAGGGCCAAGCCTATCGCAGAACCAGACTTGGGAGTGACTATCTCGATGAGAAAGTGCCCAGTGCCCAATGCCCTGTGGTGGAAAGCACTGGCCCCAGGTGCCCCAGGGCCCTGAGCCTCATTTGGAGCCAGAAGGTCTAGGGTAAAATAGAGAAGGCACCACCTGCCCATATCCCATTCCTACCCCTGTTGAAAAAGTAACAGAGGCCTCTCTCCCTGAGGTCCCTGGCCTACAAGACCCCCATTCTCTGCCTGACCTCTCACTCCTTAGTGAATGAGACCACATCACTGTCTGAAACCAGAAAGAAGAGAAGCCCAAGACCAGTGTGCCGACCTTGGCTTCCAGAACAAGGCCTTGGTCCTAACCACGTGGCAAGGCGGCCGAGGGCCCTGCCATGAAATAGGCTCACCAGGATGGAGCAAGAGGTGGTGTTTAATGAGTTCAGGTTCAATACAGAGGCTGCCGGCGGGGTCTGGCTGTGAGTCTGTCCTGGGAACCGTTCCCACCAAGCCCCTCTTGGGCAGTGGCCGCCATCCTTCCTTCAGGCTGTCCTGGCCTTCAGGCGGGCTGGCTCCTTCCCAAGGATTCCATGGCAGGGCCTTCTCCACTATCCCCTCCACCCAAGAAACACTTCCTCAGGCCTGGCCCCGATGGGCTCAGGCACACCTGGCGACATCAGAAATGGGGCCCTGGAGTCCAGACCACAGGCCAGTAGTTTTGGGGGAACAGCTCCTCCACCTCCTCCACGGGCCTATCTGGGGGGCTCTGGGTGCCCAGGGGCGCCGGGCACCTGGAAGGGACAAAGAGAGCACAGCTGAGGCTCAGCCTCTTGCGCTCCCTGGTCAAGTGGTAAATCTTGGAAAAGCCAGGCCTCAGAGGGTCCTTACCAGTACATGGGTGGGTATGCGGGCCCGGCACAGGGACAGGGGTGGGGACAGAATGGTCCCTTCGCTGTCACGGGGCTGTCACAGGGCTGAGCCTGGCTCAAGGAAGCCCCCTTTTCCAGAAGAGATGTGAAAGAAGACATACAACTTCACGGATTCCAGAGCCCTGGGCACAGCCAGCCAGTGCTGCTCCCCACCCCACCCCCGGGACTCTTAAAGGAGGGAGACAGAACAACTGCCTAGCCAGACCCAGGGTCCCATGACCAAGAAGAAAGAAAGCAGCACGACCGGGTCCAGGCTGGCCGGAGGGGCCGCAGTGCAGGTAGCCGCCTGGGACGTGCAGAACAGGAGCAGCAGGATAGTGTAGACAGCGATCAGGGCGGCAGGGGGCGCCGCCAGCACCACCCATGTCTCACCTTGGGCACACAGGAGGGACCCCAGGCCATGCCAGGTCCTCCTTGTTCCGATGGGAGGCAGTGCCCTGCCTGGGCCCTGCTGCCTACGGCGGCACGAGCTGTCAGCACGGATGAGGCAGGAGGGCTCCGGGACCCCAGTGACATCAACCACACTGTCCAGCTCATACCTCCCGTCTGTCGGGAGCTCCGCCCGCCACCAGCTCACTCTGGCCCTATGAGTCAGGGCCTTCCCTGTCCAGTCCCCCAAGCCCGCCTTGGTCTCCAGGTGACTCACGAATTTCAGCATGTTCCAGTCGAAGACGTAGTCATAGGAGAAGCCCTGCCGATGGAAGAGATTGCGGAAGAGCTGACGTAGGTAAGAGTAGTCGGGCTTGTCGTCAAACCGCAGGGAGCGGCAGAAGTTGAGGTATGTTGAAAATTCGGCTGGTGGGTGTTGCAAGGGACAGAGAGAGCCACCGTGAGAGCCACGCTCCAGAGCCCCTGCAGCCAGCACTGTCCTAGCCACCCACTTTCCTGCAGATACTTTCAATCTGACAGGGGGAAGGAAAGAAGGCAACAGAACCACAGCCTTCCCTACCACGATGAAAGCCTGGCCTGCCTGTGACAGAGCCTCTGCCACTTTCCGAGCAAGGGAAGACCTGCCAACAGCGGCCAGGAGCCTGTCAGGCAGCCGGCTCCAGGAGCCATGCCTACAGCTCTTCCACTGACCTCACCAAGCACCGGGGCCTGAAGATCAATCGTTGCCACAAACTGAAAGGACTGCAAGAGCCCGATGGGACCTTCCCACATGACCTAAGCAAGAGGAGGAAAACTCCCATTTCCCTCTCAAGAAAACTGGGGAGAGGGCCCCTGGGAGATGAGGCAGGAACATGGGCTGGGGAGCAACAGGTGTAACAGCCAGGCCAGGGAAACCAGGACTTCCGGCTGCGCCAAGGAGTGGCAAAGAGCCAGGGGTTCCTGCTCAGATGCCAAGGGCTGGGGCAACCTAGTATGGGCTTTGTTTTTTTTTTTTTTTTTAAGATGGGGTCTTGCTCTGTTGCCCAGGCTCGAGTGCAGTGGTGCAATCTCAGCTCACTGCAACCTCCACCTCACATATCCAAGCAATTCTCCTGCCTCAGCCTCCCCAGTAGCTGGGACTACGGGTGCCTGCCACCATGCCCAGCTAATTATTGTATTTTTAGTAGAAATGACACTTTACCATATTGGTAAGGCTGGCTTCAGACTCCTGACCTCAGGTGATCCATATGCCTCGGCCTCCCAAAGTGCCGGGATTACAGGCTTGAGTCACGGTGCCAGGCCCCAGTGTGAGCTTTGTATGGCCTCACCTTCCCCTTAAACAGTGCCCCAGGGGCCCACAGGCATGTCCCCTCCGACTGGGCTACTCACAAGGATAGCCTTTGCAGAGGACCTCGATGGGTGTCGACATCTTCTTCTCGCTGATCCGCTCATACTTCTGGCGCTTGGTGGCTGCTTTGAGTCCCTGCCAGGGCAGGGAGCCCAAGTTGAAGTACATGAGCACATAGCCCAGGCTCTCCAGATCATCTCGACGGCTTTGCTCTGTACAGAGAATCAAAGACCAGGTGAGGGACAGGGGTCCACTCAGGCCCCTCGCACATCCTCTGGGTCGTGCTCCTCACCATGCACCAAGCACCCTCCCATGTTGCTCACTGCACATTAAAAACAGGCACTGCTATCATCCTCCTCCTACAGAGAAGCAGCCCAAGGCAGGGCCGTCTCAACTTAATTTGGCCCAAGTTTTTCCAGCTCAGGCACTTAATCATTCAATGCCTGTGAGTGGGCACCTACTGCCCCCTTGCCTGGTCCACCCCGTGGAGAGGTCACAAGCTTCAGCATCAGACGGGGCTGGGGTCAAATCCAGCTTTGGCGTTCGCTAAGCTACATGACCTTAAGCAACCGGTGTTTAAACCTCTGAGCCTGTGCTTCCCAGCCTGCATCAACAGGAAGTGTCCTCACCCACTCAACAGGCCAGAGAAGGAAGCGGGGCCAGGGTGTGCGCCCATCACACGGGGCTTGGCTTACAAAAGGGGAAGGCCTGACTGCAAGGACAGGGAATAAGCCCAAGCTTGGGGGCAGATGGAGTGTGGACTTTCTCACTAGAAAAGAGCCCGGGGGGGTCTCCACTAAGGTAGGGGGTGGGAGGGCTCCAGAGAGCTAGGCCCTGGTCAGCGGCCCCAGGTGCACACTGCTCCAGGCCTGGCTCCCTCACCAATGCCCAGGTGGGTGTTGATGGAGGCGTAGCGGGCCGTGCCAGTCAGGTTCTTGTTTTCCCGATAGGGAATGTGCTGGTGCGTGCGGGCGTCCCGGTACTTCTTGGCCAGGCCGAAGTCGATGATGTAGACCAGGTTGCCCTTCTTCCCCAGCCCCATGAGGAAGTTGTCAGGCTTGACGTCCCGGTGGATGAAGTTCTTGGAGTGAATGTACTCGATGCGGCTGATCTGGGGGGGGAGGGGGCCGTTCAGCAGGTGTTCGACAGAGGGGCCCTCACCCAGCACTCTGGGCCAGGCAAGGGCTGGGGCCACAGAGATGGAAAACATACACCTGGTCCCTACCCTGAAAAGGAAGAAATGTCTGCCTTCCACTATGAAGGATGATTTCAAGGGGCAGGCCAGAGAAGGCCTCCTGGAAAACGTGACATCGGGATGAACTCTGAAGGAGGAGTTCACCAAACTGGTTGTGAGACAGAGAAAGAGAGCAACGCAGGGAAGCTAATGGCAAGATCCAGAAATGAAGAGTTCATTAGAAAGGCAGAAGGGTCCCCGGGGAAGGCTTGCCTACCCCGTTCCACACTCATAGGACTTAGGGAACCAGAGGCAACAGATGCAGGGAAGGGGCAGGCAGGGAGCGAGAGGGAAGCCTAAGCCAGGCACGGGAGACAGAGACGGAGCACCAAAGACAGGGCTTCTGAAGGATGCCAAACTCGGGCACACACACAGCCCTTGCCTTTGATTTTTTTTTTTTTTTTTTGAGATGGAGCCTCTGTCTGTTGCCCGGGCTAGAGTGCAGTGGCACAATCTTGGCTGACTGCAATCTCCACCTTGTGGGTTCTCGTGATTCTCCTGCCTCATCCTCCCACGTAGCTGGGACCATAGGCGCATGCCACCACGCCCGGCCAGTTTTTTGTATTTTTAGCAGAGGATTTCACCATGATGGTCAGACTGGTCTCACAGTGAGACCTCATCTTTTTTTTTTAAAACAGCGTCTTTCTCTGTTGCCCAGGCTGGAGTGCAGTGGCATGATCTTGGCCCACTGCAACCTCTGCCTCCTGGATTCAATCAATTCTCCTGTCTCAGCCTCATAAGTAGCTAAGACTACCTACAGGCGCCCGCCACCATGCCCAACTAATTTCTGTATTTTTAGTAAAGACAAGGTTTCCCCCATTTTGACCAGGCTGGTCTGGAACACCTGACCTTGTGATCCGCCCGCCTCAGCCTCCCAAAGTACTGAGATTACAGGTGTGAGCCACCTCGCCTGGCCCAGGCCTGTCCTCTGGCATCCTCTGGTGGCAGGAGGCCGGGCTGGTATCTTGGGCCCACAGGGACCTGGCTGGGGGTGGAGGGGACGGGGACTCACCATCTGGTCGGCCAGGAGCAGCACCGTCTTGAGGCTGAACTTTCGGGAACAGAAATTGAACAGGTCCTCGAGGCTGGGCCCCAGCAGCTCCATGACCATTACGTTGTAGTCACCCTCGGCTCCGCACCATTTGATGGACGGGATCCCCACTGGGGGCCAAGCGGAGAGGTTCTGTCAGGGGTCAGAGGCAGCCAGCCACGCCTGCCCCACCACCCACCTCCCACCCCACGCCTGCCACCGCCCAGCCAGCGCTGCCACCGCCCACCCCGCGCTCACCGCCGCCCTGCATCATCTTGTAGAACTTGCTCTCAATGTGCAGCTGGGGGTGCTTTGTCTTCACACACTCCAGCTTGATAGCGACTTCCTCACCAGAGGCGATGTTGGCACCTGCCCAGGGAGGGGAAACAAGGGACCAGGGTCACCCTCAAAGGCCAGGCAGTCCCAGGCGCCCCACTAAGCATTTCTGAGATCTGGTGTGTGCCGGGTCCTGGGCCATCTGCCCTTGAGAAGCTCTTAGTGGAGGCCAGGAAGGGGGCAAAGGAGGCTCAGCAGAGGCTTCCTGCAGGGGACAGAGGTGACACACGAGGGCTACCCAGAGCCACAGGCCGGGGCAACAAGGAGGCCCAAGGTGAATGGGGCAAGGGGCAGGGATGCAAAAGGCTCACAGACCATCTAAGGGAGGGGGGCCGAGGCCTAGCGAAAGGCTGGGCAGCGGGGTCTGTCGGGTTGAGGTGGTGACACATGCAGAGAAGGGGCCCCATGGGGCAGGGCCGCCAAACACACTGAACAACCCAGGACCATACTGGCCTGCAGGATGAGGACAGGATGGCCACGCAACCCCTCAGTCAATGCTGGTGCCTTCAGAGGGAGCCCCGAACATTCTATTCCAGCATCTCATTTGATTCTCACCTCCGTTCTAGAGATGAGAAAACTGAGACCCAGCTCAAGGTCCCATGACCAGTAAATGGTGGCCTCGAACATCGACCCGACTCTGCTGGCCTCCAGCCTAGGTCAGAGGTCCTGCCTGCACCTCCACCTCTCCCCCAGCCCACTCCTGGCTTCTCAAATATCCTCGGCCAGGCGCAGTGACTCACGTCTATGATCTCAGGACTTTGGGAGGCTGAGGCGGGCAGATCATGAGGTCAAGAGTTCAAGACCAGCCTGGCCAACATGGTAAAACCCCGTCTTTACTAAAAATACAAAAAATTAGCCAGGCGTAGTGGCAAGCACCTGTAATCCCAGCTATTCGGGAGACTGAGGCAGGAGAATTGCTTAAACCCGGGAGGTGAAGAGCACACCACTGCATTCCAGCCTGGTAACAGAGTGAGACTCCGTCTCAAAAAAAAAAAAGAAAAGAAACTACCCTCACACACACCAAAGCCCTGCTCTCTGCCTGGGCCCAGTCCCCCGAATCAAGAAGTCACCAGAAAGACCAAACCCAAAGTACACCTTGCCTCAGTTTCCCTAGCTATATGGGCGGAAGAGAGGAAGGGCTGGGGCGAGGCTGGGAGACGGGGTGTCTCCTTGGGGCCAGCGGCCAGCCCACCAGGAGTAGACAGTGCTGCATCAGCACAGAAAGAGGCCAGCACACCCCCCAGGGACACAGCCCCAGGAGGAGTCCACGACAGGAGAAAGACAGGACCTCAAATCCAAAGAAAAGATGAGACTCTTCAGTAATAATGTCCCTGGAACAACCGGCTGGCCAGCTGAGAAAAGACACCACGGCTCACACAACCAGGAGAAATCTCAAATGGAGGAAAAGTTGGTATCGAAGAAATCAAGGTGGGGGTGTGAGGGGGCACAGCCCGTGCACCTCCTGAGTCAAGCTGAACATAAACGCTCGTCCAAACAACCCACTCCTGAGTGTACGTCCTTCAGAAACCCATACGCCCCAGTGGGACAGGACAAGGACGTGCACAGGCACAAACAACCCAGGTGCCCGGCAGCAAAAGAAAAGGAACAGTGGTGCAGTCAGTCACCCAAGAATCCCAGACGGCGCACTCCTCACAGCAGCCGGAGGGGGAAGCCACCAACTCGGTCACAGATGAAGGGACGAACAGAATGCAGTGTCTCCACACGGCAGAATATTATTCAGCGATAAAGAGGAATAAAGGCTGGGTGCGGTGGCTCACACTTGTAATCTCAGCACTATGGGAGGCCAACGGTGGTTGTTCATGAGGTCAGCAGTTCAAGACCAGCCTGGCTAAAATGGTGAAACCTCATCTCTTAATAAAAATCCAAAAAAAAATTAGCCGGGCGTGGCAGCGTGCGCCTATAATCCCAGCTACTCGGGAGCCTGAGGCAGAGAAGTGCTTGAACCTAGGAGGTGGAGGTTGCAGCGAGCCAAGATCACACCACTGCACTCCAAACTAGGTGACAGAGGAGACTGTCTCAAAAAAAAGGAATAAAGCATTGATACATTGATACATGCTACAACAGGAATGCACCTTGAAAACAATCTACTTGAAAAAAGCAGACACAAAGGGACAAATGTTGTATAATTCTATTTACATGAAATCCAGAATTGGCCAATCCATAGAGACACAAAGTTGAATGGCGGTGGCTGGGGGCCAGGGGCACAGACAGCGGGGAGTGCCTGCTGATGGGCATGAGAATTTCTGTCATGGTGATGCCTGGCCAACATGGCAAAACCCTATCTCTACTAAAATTAGCTGGGCATGGTGACGGGCACCTGTAATCCCAGCTACTTGGGAGGCGGAGACAGGTGAAGTGCTTGAACCCAGGAGGCGGAGGTTGCAGTGAGCTGACATTGCACCACTGCACTCTAGCCTGGGTGGCAGACACCCTGGCTCGAAAAAAAGAAGAGAGCTTGCTTGCACAGCTCTGCTTGTTTCCATATCAAAGCAGGCGACAAGACTGGACAATACAGATTTAAATACAAAAGAGGGAAAAAGATGAAATGTGGGAGGGTGGTGGTAGGGAGGGATGCCTTATGCAACGCAGGCATTCTTTATGTATTCTTTGCATCCACTCGACATTTAACATTAGAAGGGAGAATTGCCTTATAGCCTTGGGGTTAAGCAAGGCTTTTATTTTTATCCCTGATTTAAAATCCTGAAGCCTGAAATTTAAATGAAAAACAAAACAAAAGGAAAACCACAAATCCTTCCTCTCCAAAAAAAAGGAATCCCTTCTGCATGGCAAAAACACCAGAAACAAAGTCATAAGAAACATACTCACTTGCAATTCTTATCAAAGGCAAAGAGGTACGTAATGAGCGCCTACAAATCAGTCGGAAAAAGACTCAACAGAAAACAGGGCAAAGAATTTGAACACGCACTTCACAAAGAAAGAACTCATTAATAGAACAGCCTTACTCACAGGAAAAGATGCCCAACCTCCTTGTAAGATAAATGCAAATTGATATGATCCTGAAAGACCATTTTTCACCTAGGACTGTCAAAAGTCTCACAAGATAACACGTCTGTCGGCAAGACTGTGGGGTGGCTGAGCGCTCCTCCCAGGGGGTCGAAGTGTGAACTGTTGAGTGGCCACTGGAGGGGGATTTGACATCATCAGCCCTGACCTGAACAACCCCACTCTGGGAGTATACCCCACATCCTAGTATGGTGCAGAACAAGGAGGGGACCAGGCTGTTGGCTGCAGAAGCTTGGAAACAACAGGTATGTCCCTGTTGCTGGGGGGGTGGGGGGGGGGGCTGATTAAATAAAGAATAACCTATCCATAAAACAGAATACAATGGAAAAAGAATGAGGAAGCTCTCCCTGCACAGAAGTGGCAAGATCTCAAAGATACAGGAAGTGAAAAAGCAAAGCACAGAACAATGTATATTTCACGTTCTCATTTAGGGTTCTCTTTAAAAAGGTGGGGAACTAAGTATCTGTGTTTGGCTCTAGCTACATAAAGAAACACTGAACAAAATACAACTGTGCAGGGCTAAGTGGGTCAGGGAGGAAGTGGGGGAGGCTTCACTGGATACTGTGTTATAAGTTGTTATTTATTTCAACACCTTCATTCATTCATTCATTTATTTTTGAGACAGAGTATCCCTCTTGTTACCCAGGCTGCAGTGCAATGGCACGATCTCCACTGCAACCTCCGCCTCCTGGGTTCAGGCAATTCTCCTGCCTCCGCCTCCTGAGTAGCTGGGATTACAGGCACAGGCCACCATGCCCAGCTGATTTTTTGTATTTTTAGTAGAGACAGGGTTTCACCACGTTGACCAGGATGGTCTCGATCTCTTGACCTCGTGATCCACCTGCCTCGGCCTCCCAAAGTGCTGGGATTACAGGCGTGAGCCACCGCGCCCGGCCTCAACACCTTTATTGAGATGTAATTCACGTAACTCTCCAATTGACTACCTCCAAGTGTCCGACTCACTGTTTTTAGCATACTCCCAAGGTTGTGCAGTCATTACCACAATCAATTTCAGAACAGTCAGCCCTTTGTATCGGCATCTGCTGTGGGTTCCGCACCTGATTCAACTATGGATCAAAAATATGTAGGGAAAAAAAACCAAAAAATAATAATACAGCAATAAGAAATAGGTTGGGCTCAGTGATACACATCTGTAGTCCTAGCACTTTGGGAGGCTGAGGAGGAGGGATCACTTGAGTCCAGTGGTTCGAGGCCTGCCTAAGCAACATAGTGAGACCTTGTGTCTACAAAAAAATACCAAAATTAGCCAGGCGTGGTGGTACTTGCCTGTGGTCCCAGCTACCTGGGAAGCTGAGGTGGGAGGACTGCTTGAGCCTAGGAGGTCAAGGTTGAAGTGAGCCACAATCATGCTACCACACTGCAGCCTGGGTGACAGAGCAAGACCATGTCTCAAAAGTAAATAAGTAAATAAATAATATAAAAATTAAAAATACAGTGGAACTATTTATATAGCATTTACATTGTATCAGGTATTATAGGCAACCTAGAGATGCTTTAAAGTATATGGAGGATGTGTGTAGGTTATACACAAATCCCATACCTTTTGATATCAGGAACTCGAGAACTGGAGAATTTTGGTATCTGAGGGGGATCTGGAACCTATTCCCCATAGGTGCTGAGGGTAGGGGGTGTTGCATTTTCTTTTTCTTTTTGAGACATGGTTTCAATCTGTCACCCAGGCTGGATTGCAGTGGCACTAACACAGCTCACTGCAGCCTCAACCTCCGGGGCGCAAGTGAACCTGCCACTTCCGCCTCCCAAGTAGCTGGGACTACAGGCACAAGCCACCATACCCAGATAATTTTTATATTTTTTGTAGAGACAGGGTTTGCCATGTTGCTAGGCTGGTCTTGAACTCCTGGACTCAAGTGATTCAAACTACCTCAGCCTCCCAATTTGCAGGGATTACAAGCATGAGCCACCATGCCTGGCCCAGGAAAGCTGTATTTTCATCACCCTGAAAACAC